ATAATTACCATCATACCTTAACGTCATACCATACCATAAATAAGCTTATAAAAAGGGTTTTGTATTATTGCTCCTCAGAGTGTACAATTAAATTTAATGTCTCTCGCGAACTTGAAGAATATTACTGAATATTCTTACGGTGAACGCATTATACTTATTACACGAAATTACCGTTATTATATAAAGACGAATCAAGGGTATTATTTTAATGATTCACTTCACGTTTCAGTTCCTTTTGGTAATTATTCAGTAATGGGGCAACTCATAATTAAACATTAAGGTACATCTTCTAAAGTTACATCGATTATTGTATACATAAGTTATTTAAAGGGAATCATAACATAATGTCCCCTAGCTGGGGCAGAGGGCGTCCACAGTAGATCTCCATCGCGAACGATGTCACGCTTCCCGCTTCACCTCGGTCCATTTCAGTCCGATGCTCGAAGCTTTTGCCAAGACCGTGCGACGCCAGGTTTGCCGGGGACGGCCACACTTCCTTATTCCTTGAGGATTCGAATCCAATGCCTGTTTGGAATGTGGTCGGAATCTCTCCGAAGCGTGCATAATAAAGAAAATAATTTTAATAGACTGTATGTACACTATAGATGATATCGTACAGTAGTTATGGTACAGCAGTAAGCTATTGACTTCGGCGCCGGAGCTCGTGGCTTAGATTCTTAATAAAAAGTATTTGATACCACAGATATTTCTTCCTGATCAGGGTGTTTGTTCCCGGGGAAAGTGGTCGTCAGAAGGCGGTGTACTAGCCATTAAGGATTCACACGATTCACATTTTGTGCCGTACCCACCTAGGTTTGATTCAAGACTGTATAGGAATGGCAGAAAAAACATAATAAGAAGAGAGTAAGATCTTAAAATTTTAATTTACTTTTCTTTAGGAGTACGATGGCATACTTAGTATAAATCAGAACTACCTAATTTGAATGAGATATTTCTTACAAAATTTTTGTAGGAAAATGGACGCAAAGTTATTGGCCGTTACGAGGATTAAAATCTCCGCAACGGCGGCGCATCCTCCGGAATTCGTGCGATTAAATTTCGTCGTATGTGTAGAGAATAGCATTATAAAAAATAATATCCCTCAAGATGTTTCTATTACTATAGATGCTTTGTTTGTGCCCTTTTTATGGAACATTAAAAAAAAAGTAAAGTAACAGCCTATACATGTCCCACGGCTGGGCAAAGGCCTCCTCTATACAGAGGGTATTAGGGCATAGTCCACCACGCGGCCCCACTGCGGATTGGCGGACTTTACATATCTTCGAAATATTTTTTTTTGTTATTATTTCGAAAATATGCAGGTTTCCTCACGATCGCTTCACCGCGGAGCAAGGCAGCACTGAAAGTTAAAAACTTCATTGGTGCCGGCGATGGTGATCGAACTCAGGTTGCTCGAGTATATTGAATTAAAAGCGAGCGCCCGGACACTGAGCTATCACGGCTCTCAGGAACATTAAAGCGAGGTATTTTTCTGAATTATTTTAATCACATACTATTCAAGTATTTTGTATGTTATTCATTCAGAAAGGGTTCTGATTACAGTGACAGTTTGTACTGGCTTCAATGATATATATAATCTTTCTTCCCTTAATGTTTTTATTATGTGGGTTAGTATTTTTAAAGAGAAACATTGAGTCTTTATATGAAATTGATATGAAACCATATATAACTTTACAATTATATATAAGTAAATAAATACTCTACATTTATTTACATGCCATTTATACACATTGAATTCCATAAAAGTTTTGACTATCTCATTAAAGCGATGATGTCGTAAATTATTATATCCTTCCTATGTCATAATCGTCAGATATCCTTAAAGAAAGCCTGTTTTTTTTTATCGGGAATGTCTTTATTATCATGAAGGTAAATGCGAATACGTACATTTTTTATCTGTGTCAAGTAGCGAATTGTTTAAAATGAGTTTACTCATAAACGGGACCTTACAAAATTAGTGAGATATTTATTAATACAACCATTTCGTATATTCAAGGAATTATACGTGTTTTGATCTTTTATAGTAACGTGTCTTTGGATTGGAATGTTTCCTGCCTTACTTTTTAAAGTAGTTCTTCAGATTGCGGCAACCGAAAGGTTTCTAACATCATGTATTTAAACAAACCGCCAATAGTCTGAAGTTTAATTTTATAGTCTACGCCCTCCAATGCCACGAAATCCTTAGAGTCACTATTAGATTTAGCTTTATTGTTCAGCTTTGCACTAAATTACGGCTGTAAAAGTTTATGGTAAGCACAATGCAGTATTAAAATGTGAAACGTTCTCGTTTTGACAATCATTTGTTTACATGGTCAATTTAAAATGAATTAAACAACCTTCGTTATAAATCACGACAATGTCGCTGCAACGACGACTGGTCTTCATATGTAGCAAAATTCAATCTCAGTGGTGTGTATTAGGCTCTTCAAATTTTCAAACTGAAAAATTATAGTTCTTAACTACCCGATATTTAACACAGTGTCACCATGGATAATATTTATACCTTTTTAGGGTTCCTTAATTAAAGGGTAAAACGGGGCCCTATAACTAAGGCTCTGCTTTTTGTCTGTCTGTCTGTCTGCCTGACAATCCGTCATAAAGTTGTCACACAGTATTTAATTTATAGAGTGCCGCAAGCTTTGAGTTTTTCAGTTGTAAGTACGATTTATTTATTATTTATATATTTATTATGGCTAGGCCAGATAATCACAAATGAAAAAAATATCAGGATCAGAAAATCAGCTTGGTTTTTAGAGGTTTCATTAAGAAACTTCAACAAAATCGACATCAACTCTCACTCTCCATAAGATGTTGAAATGAAACAAGATCAATTCCACTTATTTTGGAACTTTGTCAGCTTGAGATGTGTCCCTCGTTGTTAATAAATACAGATTGAATGACTTCGTAAAACTGCTTTAGGTGAACATATAATAAGAACACTGGAAAACAAAATGCTGTACCTACAATTATTTGCCGTGTCGTACACGTCACTATCGAAGTTTTCTTAAAATCATTACATAACATTCTAAAATAACCGGCCAAGTGCGAGTAGGACTCGCACACGAAGGGTGCTGTACCTTGTTCCCTACAAGAACGGCAAAAAATCATGTCCGTTGTATGGGAGTCGCACTTAAAAACTATTTAATTATTATTTATTTTTATTCTGTTTTTTAGTATTATAACGGCAACAGAAATACAGTCATCATCTGTGAAAATTTCAACTGTCTAACTATCACGGTTCATGAGATACAGCGTGGAGACAAACGAACAGACAGAAAGACAGAGAGCGTATTCTTAGTAATAGAGACCCGTTTTATCCTTTGGGTAAGGAACCCTAAAAAGTAAAACATATTTCGTTGAATAACTTATGTACTCGTGCATAGATCAATAAATGAATAAAAACCGTGGATTCAAATATTTTTCTAAATTGAACTTTAATAATTAAAACATAACGGAAATAGACTAAAGCTTACGGAACAGGTTATATTTTATTTAAATTAAAGTTTAAATCTATATGTTTTGGACAAATTTTGCTTTGAAAGTAACTAAAAAAACTGGTAAACTAGTAAAACCTAGAGAGTATCTGTATTTTAGAGTGATGAGAAAATTACTTGTCAAACTAAGATATAGAAAAGATAAAAGTTTAAGTTAAATCAGCTTGAAAGGCTGCGGTTGCTTAAGTTACGAACCGACGTACGTGCTCGTTTATAATTTATTTTTATAATTACTAATTAATATTCATTCTAAATACGAGGCTAATGATGCATTTCTTGGCAAAGTAGCCATCTGAATCGTTGCACCATCCGAGCAATCAAAAAAGTGTTATTAAAGCTAATCATAAAACATTTATTACTGAAAAACAATAACGAATTTATTCATTTAGCGATTTACGTTTTGTAGTTAACTCAAGTAAAAAGATTTATAGATCTGTTGAAAAATGGATGAAAAGCTATTCACTTCTGCGAGGATTTGAACCTGTATCCTTTGGGAAACGGGCAAGACGTTCTAGGCAATGTACTAAACGGCTTACCGTGTCACCGACGAATATCTTACGTACAATTACGACGATCTTTTTTCGATCGATTCTTTTTTACGAATATCTTCGTTAATGTTGGCATCATCTAGTGTTTCCAATATTTGTGGAAATATTGCACATTTTAAATTTCGTTTCGTGCGGAGACTAAAAAATAAAACTGTTTTTAACAATCAACATCAATAAGTTCCCGTCAGCGTGATTTTTAAACTGAATAAACTCAATTCCACTTAGTTAAAATCTTTGTCATCTAGAGATGCGTCCCTCGTAGTTAATAACTTCAGATTAAATATACCCTGACTCTGCAACGTCGTTGTTGAAGCGTTCATGTCAGAACCCTGGGATACTTCATTAAAATAAATGTGAACAACAAAATTCGTAAGGAATAAATAGACATATTGTATAAACTTTGAAACGATGTTCAAGAAGCATACATATTCTTGTCTCAGTGAGAGCATCACAGGTTATGGTTGTCTAAAATCATAATTTAAACACTCAGAGAAACATGTAGATGCGAAGAAAACATTCATCTCATTATCATTCCATTCGTCATCGGCTGCTGGAAGGTGCCTCAGCTTTTTTGAGTGGGTCATCGTTGTTATAGCGCTTTATTATGCTCTTGTTAAGGATTATGACTTTGGCATGAAGTCTCTGCTTCCTAGATAGCTGCTCTATGTTCTAAAGCGAAGGAACGCATCGAGCAAGAAGGCTTTAGGAATTAAGATGAATAATATAATATATAATAATGATAATACTAAACTTAAAAAAAATTTGTGTTGTGTGAATTTTAATAGTTTAACATTTTTTCGACTTTCAGAACGGAATAGAATGAAAATTTGAGATAGAGACAGCGTACTCGTACGTTGTAAATATTAAAAAAAAACTGACATTTTACACCATCAAAATTTTATTATTACCATAGGAGTGATGTATATTGTGTATATTATAAAAAATCGAATTGCAGCAGAATCACAGTGTAAGTGGATAGGGCGGACAACATGTTTAGGAGTAAAGCGGCGTTCACCGTAAACAAGCCTAAAGCGCTTAGTGGCTGGAACTTCTGTCTTCCTATTCGGCGCAACTTTTTCCGCACTTCACGTAGAAACTCTGTGAGGGTAGAACGAGAATAAGTTAAAACTTGCAGCCTTACTATACTTTACTAAAAAATGTTATTAGTCTATACATGTCCCAATGCCGGGCAAAGGCCTCCTCTGTACACAACACGGCCCCACTGTGGATTTGCGGACTCCACATATCGGATTTTTTTTAATTATGATTTCGAAAATAGGCAGGTTTCCTCAAGATGTTTTACTTCACGTTGATGTTGTGCTGAACACATGACAATTTAGCAACTAAAATTAACAATTTCAATGGTGCTGGCATCGGGGATCGAACTCAAGTTGCTCTAAGATATTGCATTAAAGGTGAGCGCCCGAACACTGAGCTATCACGGCTTGCTTCACTATTTTTTTTAAAAATAAAGTATTTAATAAATAATGATACAGTTATGTGGGTTTTATTCTGCGAAGAATTTGGACAAGTCGTGTAGTTGTTAATGTAATATTAACATTAATGAACACAATATAAACAACTAACATTCATGACTTCATTTTGCGAACAGTTATTTAAGCATATGCTCATGATTTTTATTTTTAAAGAATGGCTATTCTTGACCATCCCGATTTCCAGAGGTAGTCCATTTTACAGAGGGATGGACAAAGAAGGAAGAATATAAGAAATTTTAATGGAGTAGGACAAAGTATAAAGACCCATTTAATAATTTCAAATGATTACATTTGAAATCTATGAAAGTGTTTTTCCTTTAAAATTAAGAAAATTAAAAAAGTGACATTCCCGACAAAGTAGCACGCGGTTAATACGCGGCAGTATGGTTAGATAGTCAATTAAAAAAACATCCGAGGCCTGCACAGTTGTGGTAGGACCACGCAACGCGACGCCGTTGCACGATTAGGTAGATCCGCCCGGGGAAACACCATGACCTCACAGAAGACTGGCATGAAGTGGAAGAGTTATCTCGTGCGTTTCGCCTAGTGAGTGAGGTAGCCGGGGCCCACTTACGAAAAAGATGGCAACGCGTTTGCCAACGGCGGTTATCACTAAGCATCAGATGTACCGCAAGCTCGCTTGCCTCTTACATAAAAAAGCATCATTTTGATTTTAGTCATAATGAATGTCTCATACCAATATACGGAGGGGTTTTTAAGTTCACGGAATGGGAAACAAGGCGAAAAAATAAAACTTCAAGTATGTATTCTTCTGCAAATTAAATAAAGCTATTTACGCATTTTATCGTATTTTAATTTTTATTTTTATTTGTCGCCGTTTCGTACCCTTTACGCTTTTACATATATATTTATAGACATGCGTCAAATAGTTTTATTTAATATGTATAGTATTCGGTGAATACTACACATATGAATACTATTCACGTAAAATCAAGAAATCAGTATATTATTATGCAAGACAAATACATTTTTGAGATCTTTCCATTATTTCAATTTATACCGTTCTTATACTCAGTAAAGAAGATCCTTTCTGAGTCCCAAAAAAGTCCAGTTACAATTCGATTTAGCACATCATTACTGTCTTCGAGGTCCAAGAGCACTGAACATTCGGCGTGCTTCTGTTTACGTTGTGAGCATTACCTGCACCTACCGTGCGCTGACCTTCTTCATGCCAATATGTTAGTGAAGTATTTTAAAAATAGTTGTATCGGACCCAAAACTATTTCTACAAGCTGTTTCTTCTTTCGCTGAGCATTTCTTAAAATATTTTTTTTAATTTTTCAACCGGTACCGGAGTGGTCATCTCAAGTCGCCATCTTGGCCATGGGTATACAAATAACTATCTTGTATACCATGGTTTTCCCAGCGCAAGATTCCTCGTATACCGTTGACATCTCTTCTAGTATGATTTGAACATATTTTTCTTACTTTGTAAGAAACTCAATGACGGTTCGATACTCAGTTTTCTCCATTTTCCATACCTTTCCATCGCCAGACGGTCACAATCATCGAAATTATACATATCTTATCCTTTAAACTTTTTTTTATATTTTTTTTTATTTTTTTATATTTTTTATGAAATTTAGTATGTGCGTAGATTCGGGGGAGAAAAATCGATCTAGCTAGGTTTTATTTTTAGAAAATGTCCTGTTATCCCTGATTTCAGGGAATGAAAAATATCATTCGAATATGACAGTAAATTTCACCGCAAAAAAATGTTATAGTAGCTCGGTAGGTAATATGGCGGCCCCAAAACAGACGGCCGCGGTTCGTATCACGATCACACACTTTTCTTTTTACTTTTTTTTCTATACCAGATCATTTTCTTTATTTTTTATTTTTTTTTATTGCCAAAATACATGATTTACCAAAAAAAAAACCGGTCCTCCAGGTACCGTTTAAATTGAATGATTGATATCGTAGTTTCACGCGTTGAGATTAATCATAATTGCTTAATATATAAAGATAGTCAACCCTTAAAAAACGGGAACCTTTTTATAACGGATTTACACTTAATGGATGTGCTGCATTAAATTAGCGGGATTTTCCATGTTTCCTATGTCTGATCTTTTTGGGCCAGAGGTCATCCAATAAATCAATACTCCTTGATAAGTGTGGGAATTGAACTCTTGTTCAATTTAAGGAATTTCATTTTTCTTTAGTGTATAGTTTACTCCTTTAGACTTACACTTTATTCAGTTAATATTTCCCTTTAGGGAACACATTTTTTGTTTTAGTTCTTTGCAACAACGTGGCCTATGGAGCCACTTAGTTGAGTAATTAAATGTTATGAAAAATGAATTTTAGCACAATCACGATGTAAGTGGCGAATGCGTTCAATATATTCAGAAGTAAAAAAAATATATCTCTGTGAACGAGTCTAAAGCGCTTAAACTTATGTCCTTCCAATTTTATTAGTGAAGATGGAATTAATGTAAAACTTAATGAATTGGTCTAAAATCTCGACTTAGAGGTATTTGTAAACTACTCGCTGCCTTTGTTCACTGCAAGTAGAATGAAACATCAATAACAGTTGCCATCTCTGACTACCATTTTACGTTTTAATGAAAGGAGTTTGAGCTGGCAGCCCCAAATATTTAAGATATAACTGATAATTACATTATTGATATTTTTATCTTAATTGAGAAAGGAATGTAAATACTCACAATTGTTTATGAGATATTAGTTACTGCGTCGAGAGGTTTCAACGGAAGGATCTCACTAAATAATAAAAGTTGACAGCTGGTGATAGTTAGTTACGATAAGACTAAAAAGTCTTTAGATTTTAATACACTTGTTTGATTTTACCATCAGACGGCTACGTCACTTACTGATAGACTTAAAAATAGACAACACAAAAGTAGTCAATTTTTACGTCCCTTTAACATAAAATTATAATATTGATTGTGAACTCACCAAGATTGCTATCACTATGCATGGTTATAATACATGCGACTTGAACATTTTTCAATGAAGTGTGAATCTCTTCACATTCCACACTCAGTAGTGTGACTAAAAACGTATTCTTTACTGTCCATATGAGTGCAAATATCAGGATCCCGTTTATACTAACGTACTAAAAATCAAAATATGATAAGAGAATTTTGAGTTAACAAGTAATAAATGTTGATCGGATTCTTACCTCGACTATTGTTTGAATATTTATAATTAATTGAAAAAAGGTCGTGAGCACGTAGTAAACAATCTGTAAAAACAATTAAATTTAAAAAATACATACAGTTATGCACTACGGATATATTTATTTGTCTCAAAAGTCGAAAATGATTTTATAGCTTGGCAATAAAACCAGATGAAATGCCAAAGTACAGGTATTAAGAAGCAAATAAATCTTACCGGAGGACCTACGATTTTTTCACAAAGATAATACGAGTTCATGATTGAATAGTACGTATTTAATAACTCAGACCAGTGTGTAAATATCACATGGTCGTCTCTTAAACTTTTTGAATCATAGTTCGACACAAATTCCAATTCAGACTTCCACAAAGTAACACTTGTTCTGATTAATTTTATGATTCTAAATGCATAGATAATATTGAAATCAGAAGGTAAGATAATAAGAACTGATATGATAATGATTGAGATGTCACTGAACTTGAAATTAACTTGAATAAATATGTACACAAAATAAAACAAAATAATCAACGCAACACTGAGCCAATTTTCAATGATAGTTTTACGGTCATCGTTCCTGATGAACTTAATGCTTCCCATTATTGTTTGAACATTAAGTATCAAATTAACATTGGTTTCACTATATATGACGTTGACAATACTGCCCATAATGTAACCAAAACTGAATAGGAGCGTTTGGAATATTATTATGAACTTCATGGATGAAGTTAACACTTTAGACACCTGTTTGATGTACTCGATGGAAATATAAATATAAATCATAAAAGTTAAAGCTATGTAGCAAAATATTGTTACATTAGTTGCAAAGTTATTGGGCGTAATAAAATTGTAGCGAATAGAATACTTAGGGTTGAATATTAAATATTGTAATAGGGACAAAGGGAATAGAATTCTCTGAATATTTGAATGAACATAATTGTTCATTACAAAATCGGTGCTGATAAATCTTTCACGGGTAATCTTAGGCTTTTTTCCTCGTTTCAAATTCATTATATACCAATTTTTAATTCTGAATTAAACCGAAAAATTTTTAAATCCGATTTAAAATCCGACTGTTATGTCGATGGTGTTTACATCGTTAAAGCGATATTGTTCGTTAAATTCATTCATCTAATTTTTGTAAGTGCTCTCTTAATTACTTTAATATAAAAGGTGATGTTTCGAATTGACAAGCACTCATAAAAATTAAAATGAAATTACACATTTGAAATATTTATTCAAATTACTTTTTTAACACCAGTAGTACATACATTTTACATTACAGTTTCACATAGTATACTTTTGTAAAAGAAAAAAAGTAAAGTATCAGCCTATGCGTGTCCCACTGTTGGGTAAAGGCCTCCTCTGTACAGAGGAGGGTATTCACATATATATATTCGAAATATTTTTTTAATTAATATTTTGAAAATATGCAGGATTCCTCACGATGTTTTCCTTCGCCGCTGAGCACGTGATAATTCGGCACTTAAAATTAGCAATTTCATTGGTGCCGGCACCGGGGATCGAACACAGGTCGCTCGAGTATATTGAATTAAAGGCGAGCGACCAGACACTGTGTCGCGAATGCGAAGCAGTTATAAATTTGTATACACGAAAAGGGTAGTTCAATAGTTTGCGAGATAATTAATTGTCATAATGAGGTTAGAAATGTAGCAAGATGGATATAAAAGTGTGATGGGACGACACCTCAGGGCAATTAGTCGGTGTGTTGTCGGAGAGATCAGTAATGTAGTGCGGAAGCTATGTCGGTGAGTCAGTTCAGTAATATTGTATACCCGTGTATCTTTTATCAAATGTATCAATTAGTGTATTCAGTAACCGTTTTGGTAGTTGACACATTAGCAGTATATGAATCTATTGGTAATTGCACTAGATGTTCGCCATTCCACTTGTGTGAAGACAGTCTGGCGACACAATGTCTTATCACGGCTCGGAGCTAATCTATACTATAATAAAAGAGTAGAATCGGCGTGTCTGTACATTGAATATTTTTATGAAAAAATGAAAAAGGGTATCATAAAAAGTGTTATAGGAAACATAAAAACCATTTTTAGAATTTTTGTCTGTCTGTCTGTTAGCGATAAACTTGAAAACTACTTATCGGATTTTGATGCAGTTTTCACTGGTTACTTAAGCAAAGCTTGGGGCAGGACCTAGGTTTTTGTAAGTATTCAAGATTAATTCTGTGCAACATTAAAGTTTTGTTTTTTTTTGCAATTGGTTCACTAAAAAAACAGCTTAGTAAAAAGATAAGGAATTAGATCCGATGCAAAAACTAGATGGCGTTGTTCTTCATAAAATGCGCTGTATACATATTTTCACAAGTTAATTAAGGAACAAGTGCCGACCATTTGCATTTTAATAATAATAATGCGAATTTCTTCAATTGAGATTTATACGATTGGTACGATTTTAGTTTTGCTCGGTATAGGGATATTCTTGATTTTGGTTTGCGATTTGGTTAGTTGTTAGGAACAGTAGTGAATTTCTCTATAGGCCGCGTACTCGGCGGGCCAAATGTAGGGGGCTGCAAATTAGTGGGGTATTTTAGTAGCGTTGCTTGCCTTTCGCTTCTTTTCGTAGGCGATATTCCATGAATATTATAACAAATCAAGCGGGCCTGATAAGTAGGTACCATTCGTCGGCTCCATAATATCATGTACTAACTTTCTTTGTTTAATTTTTTGTGCCTTCCAGCAAGTCTTTTCGCTTAATCTTTAATGAGCCTAGTGCGATCAACGGACAAATCTGTCACTGTTTAGGAATATAGATTTGGTTAGGTTAGGATATTCGGATATTAAAGGGGCCGAGTAGGAGGGCGCGCTGAATATTCCAGCGCGCCTTGCCTGGAGGATAGGGGTTTGTTCCCCGAGAGTGGGCTGCTGAGGCGGCCAGCGCTGGCAGGGTCGCGGAAGTGTGCGAAAGCGTTCCCGTGGCCCTGCCTATATGCGCCTAGGTGGAATATCGTTTGGCATTTCCCTCACGTTAACAAAAAAAAAAGGATATTCGGATATTATTTTGCTTTGTCGTTTGGAAATTATGTTTGTTTTTTATCACTGACTCACAATTTGTATCTAAAATATCAGATACAAATTGTGAGTCAGTGATAAAAAACAAATTTGTAATTAGATACTTATTTTGTAGTATTTTCTAAATCATTGAATTTACCTTTTAGTATTTATTACAAAAATGCCTCGATAGAATTTTATATCGTGCTTAAAAAGTAGCCTTCCTCAATAAATTGGCTATCTAACAGTGCAAGAATTTTTCTGATCGGACCAGTAATAGCTGAGATTAGTAAGTTCACACAATCTGATGCTAGCTAGACTGCTAGCATCTGTTTGATACATGTATCTCATAAACTATGATGTTAAGACAGTTGAAATTTTCACTGTTGACGCTATAACAACAAATAAAGTAAATCAGAATTTTTTTTTTAAGTGGGGCTCTCATACAACGGACATAATTTTATTGCCTTTTTTTATAGATTATGTTATGGAACTCTTCGTTCACGATTGCGACTCGCATTTGGCCGGTTTTTAAATTTATATAATCTAACAATCATCATCATTTTACAGACCATAATATAATTGTTGTTAACTATATTTTCATCCAATTCTGCTGTAGCTATTACTTAAGTCGATATAAAATTTTTATTTATGAACCGATTTGAATAAAACTAACACTAAATATTAAGTGACGTACTACAATGCATAAGTGAAAGTTGCACCCAAATTGGTTAAGCCGTTTCCGAGATTACGCGCACAAACGCACACACACACGGACAAAAATTTTAACAACCATTGTTTTGGGTTCTATTGTGTTGATAAAGGGGGATCTTTAGTAATAGTTTTTCTCAAATATCTTCCGTGTACCGACAAAGACAAGTAACATTTTTATTATATGTATAGATATCTAATATATTACAAACTGAAGCTTTGGTTGTCTATAGAATTAAATATTTGGTTGTCTATATAATTTAGATGATTCGGTGAAAATTGGAATATAACATATTTTTAATTTAAATACTGTTGCAACTATAGTAACACTTAATATTACTAATATTAATTTTATACATAGCATATGGCAACTTTATTTTATCTCTTCCTCTTCTGCTCCTGCGATCCCGGGCTAAATACACGCTTGTAACTTGTCCTGTGATTTTTATTAATTACTTCGCTCCACGAACACCAGCACCTACCAAAGCATAAGCAGTCCAACGCCCTACAAATACTATGTAATTTTGTTAGATTTAATATTTTAATTTTTTTTTGCACACTAACCTTTCGTTGCTTTGGGATAAGTACGCTTTACCAACTGAACCAGCGGCCGATGACCTCACGGCACGAAAATCTATCTAAGTTCGTTCTATTGCGTCAGCAATCACCATCATCATCATTTCAACCTGTTTAAGTCCACTGCTGAACATGGGCCATTTATATATATTATCCATTCAGCAGTAGACTCCTCCACAAACTGATACATTTTATTTTATTTATTTTATTTATTTATTTGATACACCAACGAAATGGACACTGAAAAAATTTAAGTGTAAACTAATTACATGGAAAAACATGTTAAGTGCCACCTCAATTATAGGTGTATACGACATTTCAATTAAATGTGGTATTTGCATGAGAAACAGGATTATTTAAGCATTGAAACAACAATTATTAAACTAATACAATTCAAATCAATCCAAAAAAAAAAACACAATTCATTACATTATCATTACATTATACACATATGAAGTTGAAATCGAAAATGTTATAATAAACATAGGAGTAAAAGTAAACGTCTGTGAAATATTTTGATTACATAATAAATTAATAATATTGGAATTAAAATTTTGACAATAATAAATTTTTAACAACAGTCGACATAAAATCTAAATTTTAGCATTTAGATGCTTCGCGACATAAAAAGTCCTGTCCAAAGACTGTAACTATTATCGCGGAGGTAGTCCATTACCGACAGGATTTTTTAAATTCACTTAACCGCTCTGAACTGACTCTATCGAAACTTGAGTGAACTAGTGTATGTGATATTCATCTTGTAAAATGAATTGTTTTACGGATTTTATCGCGTTTAATTGTTTTTTTAAAGACAGCCAGACAGTCTGTACCCTGAATGTTTTTTTCTGTGGTAGGGCCACGCAGCAGGCTCGGCTGCTTCACGAATGGGAAGGCTCATCTGGGTAAGTACCACGACCTCACAGAAGACCGGCGTGAAATGAAAGC